GTGTCATTAAAACTGTTATTTAACAATGAGTTATCATTACAACCAATGCAGATAATTTATGGCTCTAAAATCCAAATTTCGAAAAACAATTTTGTTTGGGGGCCTCACCTGGCAGTGCTCAGCGGCTACTCCTGGTGGTGCTCACAGGTTGCTTCTGGTAGCATTCAGGGGACTGTGTAGACTCAGAAACAGAACCTAATGCCTCCATATACTCTGCGTGCACTCAGTTAATTGAGCTATTTCTCCAGCCCAATGAAGCATCATTACTTATGAATGATAACTGTGTTAGAAAAGCTGTCATAATAAAACATGGTTTCTACAGTTAATTAAAATTCAGTAAGGTGCTAGACATAAATATGCAATTTGTTCTTTGTTATTCAAAGACCATATATTTTTGGTCTGTTCATTTATTTGTCGGGGGAGTGTCTCACCCAGCAGTGCTCAGAATGTTCTCCTGGTTCTGTGCTCAAGCGTCACTCAGGGCATTTTGTCTATTCATATACTAATAGCAATTACAGAACATACTGAAATACAGCAGATTCCACTTGCAATGCTTTCTAATATGCTAAGAAACATGAAGCGTCTACATAGAGGTCAGGAGTTACTCCCGGCTCTACAACTCGGGAGTCAATCCTGGTAAGCTTAGGGGACCATAAGGGATGCCGGGATCAAACCTGGATCAGCTGTGTGTATGACAAGCACGTTAGCTGCTGTACTATTACTCCAGTTACTATTTAAAAGATCTTGAGAGAACTAGATGTAAATACTGAATTTCTTGACTGGGTTGGTCCATCTATCTTTGGCTTCAGTGAGTCGGCAAGAAAGGCCAGGAAATGAAAAGATCTGCAAAGAGATGCATCATTAAAAAAAAAAAAAATAGGTCAGTGTTCTGGATCCCTGTGGCCTCTCCCAGGCATACTTATTCCAGAATGTCGACCTGATGGTTTGGTGCTTAGGCCCATTGGTTCTGGGTTCCCCAGGGCCACACCTAGTGGTGCTGAAGGAGAAGCATGCAGTGCCAGGAATTAAACTCAAGGCCTCAAGCATGCAAGACATTTGGCCCACCCCTTTGAGCTACCTCCATGACCCACTATATATATATATATATATATATATATATATATGTATGTGTATATATATGTATATATATATATATATATTTATGTAGGAGTAGGGCGTTTGCCTTGCATGCAGTCAACATGGCTGACCCGAGTTCGATTCCTCCGCCCCTCTCGGAGAGCCCGGCAAGCTACCAAGAGTATCTTGCCCGCACAGCAGAGCCTGGCAAGCTCCCTGTGACGTATTCGATATGCCAAACACAGTAACCAGAAGTCTCACAATGGAGGCGTTACTGGGCCCGCTCGAGCAAATCGACGAACAACGGGAGGGCCTTTACCTTTTTACCTTTATTGCTATTTATTCAGTCATTGATTAGGCTGATTGAATTGGGCATGAACTCCAACTTGCTTTTTTTTCCCCTTTTTTTATAATTTTATTTATTAATGGGAGAGCTTTTACAAAGCTTTTGGGTTTAAGTTTCAATCATACAATGAAACACCCGACCCTTCACCAGTGCCCATTTTCCACCACCAAAAAACCAAGATAACCCCCATCCCATCCTCTCCCCCTACCTGTGGGGTAGATGATTTCCACGTTACTCTCTACTTTGATTACATTCAATATTTTGACACCAGACCCACCATTATTTGAGATTTTACCCCAACAGTCAGATCTGCCAAAAAGGCAACAGTAGACAATTTGTTTTCTATTGCTGGTTATGAATAACATATGATGTTGCATGGTTGCAGTAGTGCTGTGCAATTTTGGAATTCTGAAAATTTAACATTTTAAATTTTAACATTAAATCTGGAGGGATTCTGCCAAAACCTGCTGGGTTCCGAGATGTGTTCCTGAGTCTCTTGGATCATGATGGTTAAGCAGCTTTGATCAGGAGCCGGAAAGGCCATTCATGGGCGGCAACTCAGGGTCTCATTGGGACAGGGAGGAAAGGGCCGGCTCCACCCCCATCCCATGAGGCCCTGCATGTCTCATCACTGTGGGCCCAAACCTGACTATCTAATGGCCTCTGGAGGATGGCAGTCACCGAGCCTCCAGGGTGAACAGGCCAAGGCATGAAACCTATTTCCACCTGGGGTGGCTGGCGCCGGTAACCTACTACAGGGACCAGACGCATTTCTGCAAAAAAGCCACTGGGTTCCAAGATTTGTTTCTGAGTCTCTGGGATCATGGCCGTTAAATAGCTTGATCAGGAGCCAGAGAGGCCATTCGTGGGCGGTGACTCAGGATCTCGTTGGGGTGGGGAGGAAAGGGCTGGCTCCACCCCCAACCTGTGAGTCCCTATATGTCTCGTCATTGCAGCCCCAAACCTGACTGTCCAATGGCCTCTGGAGGGGGCACAGGCAAAAGGACAACACCCTTTTCCCCCTGGGGTGGTCCGGCACTGGTAACCCATTGAGGGGACCGGATGCATCTCTGCCAAAAGCCGCTGGGTTCCGAGATTAGTCTCTGAGTCTCTGGGATCATGGCCGTTAAGCAATTTGATCAGGAACCAGAGAGGCCTTGTCTCCAATTATATAGCTGAGCCGGAGGTGGTTTGTGGGTGTGTCTCTCTAACTTTTGGCACCACAACTGGCAGTGGTCAGTGGTTACTCCTGGCTCTGCACTCAGAAGTCAATCCTGGTAAGCTTAGGGGACCATACAGGATGGCAGGATCAAACCTGGGTCAGCTGTGTGTATGGCAAGCACCTTAGTTACTATACTGCTATTCCAGTTCCCTTTAAAAGATCTTGATAGAATTAGAAGCAAATACTGAATTTCTTGACTGGGATTGTCCATCTATCTTTGGCTTCAGTAAGTAAGCAAGAAATGCCTAATAAATTCAATTTTTAAGTCTGAAATGAAAAATGAAAAAAAGTTAAGCCATTAATTTAAGGTGGCTTGTGTTGGAATGCGACAGTTTATAAAGTGAATGTTGAGGCCAGGAAATCGTATACAATCCCCAATACTGCATGGTCACCCGAGCAAGTGTGGCTCTGGTGGACCCAGCATCATCGGTGTTATCCATGGTAGAAGAGCATCGCATCCTCAGTCTTGAACCACTGTCCCATTTAGCTGAGAATCAACCGGGTGGGATTACCCTCGCCACCACCACTCCCACCTTCTCCCACCTTCTTAGTACAGCTTAGAAGTCCCCACCACCAAAAAGTGAATGTTTATTCTGTAGTTGCAATTTTTCTGTACAGTTAGAATCATTTCAAAAGTTTCAAATATATCTATGAATACATGAATTCTCATACCTTGACAGGAATAGCTCTAAGATCCAGGTACGTGAAAGGACCTAGACACACACACACACACACACACACACTCACACACACGCGTGCGTGCACACGCACACACACATGCACACTCATACAAACATGAAAGGAAGAAAGGTCACTAACAGGGTAGAAAAATACCCTGTAATAGTCAAGAAATGCACAATAAAAGATTTCTTAAAATTTAAACCCATCAAATTAGCAAATACTTCTGGGTTTTTTGTTTGTTTGTTTTTAATAACATCAAGTACGTGTAAGATTATAATGAAACAGGCGCCCATACTCATTACTGGTGGGAATGTTCATAGGAATCAACACTTCAGTAATGTTTTTATTTCAAGACTCCTGACAGCCTTGATACAGTAATTCCACCTTTGGGAAACACCCTCCAGGGAGTCCCGAAAAAGGAAAGTCTGATGCACAAAGTTATTTACCGAGTCTTACTTATATTTAAGGAAATCTGAAAATTGGGCCAGAGATATTGTTCAGCAGGTAAGGTACTTGTCCTTGCCGGCAGCTGACTGGTTTAATCCGAACCAGAAGTAAACCTGGAAGAAAACTGAGTGTGGTCCCTGAACCAAAACAAATCTGAAAATGAAAGTCAAATTTGTACACTGGTGGAGAAATGGGTGTGGAACACTGTATGGCTAAAATCCAATCATGAACAGCTTTGTAAGGGTCTATCACAGTGATTCAATAAAACAGTTTAAAAATAAATGTAATTCAGGAAAATATTAGCTCACTTGTAAAAACGTATGCCCCTTAAAAACGATCACAAAGTAATTTTACAAAATACAGTGATGACGGCTGGAGAGATAGTTCGGTAGGTAAGGCACTTACCTTGCACATGGCCAATTCCAGTTTGATCTCTGGCACTGCATGCGATCTCTTGAGCATTGCCAGGTGTAACGTCTAAGCACTGCACCAGAAGTAAGCCCTGACCACTGCTAGGTATGTCCCTCAAAGTCAACAACAACAAAATTGTAATGAAGAGTGATAAATGTAGAGGATAAGCTATGCAACTGTATAGTACGATTGACTACATATTTATAAAATAAAAAAAATGGAGAAGAAACAAATTTTAAGAGCCTGGTAACAGTCTCTTCTTCAAATGGAAGTGGTATGAGTAATAGTGTTCTTTCATTTTTTTTTTTATCAAAATACGTTCAGGGAGAATGTAAAAGTCTGTATTTTTATACCACAAAAGATGACTCAAACAATCGCCACAGTGTCTGGAGTAAGCAGGGACAACTCATAGCATATGCTCTTCATAGATTCTAGGTTTCTGTTGAGTGAAAAAGTCTACATTAATTTTTCAGCCAATGGCAACACCTTTTCAAATTCTGTCTGGCACTAGCAGTCATGCACAGGTCAGCATACGGAGAAAGATTCACTAACCACAAATTCTCTCATGAAGCACTTTAAGAACTTAAGGTAGCTAACTAGTAAGAACTTTAGTCAGGAAAAAGAACCCTTTCAGGAAAAGAAGACACTTCTACTAAAATATCTTATGCTAACTTTTGTTTACTCTCTTTTATTTTTTTATTTTTATTTTTATTTTTTTGCTTTTTTGGGGGGGTCACACCTGGTGATACACAGGGGTCACTCCTGGCTCTGCACTCAGGAGTTACACCTGGTGGTGCTCAGGGGACCATATGGGACGCTGGGAATCAAACCCGGGTCGGCCACATGCAAGGCAAACGCCCTACCCGCTGTGCTATCTCTCCAGCCCTGTTTACTCTCTTTTAAAAGATGTCTCTTTTGGGATCAGAGCAATAATACAGTGGGTAGGTCATTTGCCTTGCATGCAGCCAACCCAGGTTCCATCCCTGGTATCTCATATCATCCCTCGAGTCCACCAGAAATAATTTCTGAGTGCAGAGCCAGGATTAAGCCCTGAGTACTGCTGGGTATGACCCCAAAACCAAAATAAATTTTTAAATCTCTCTTTTTCTGAGCAAACAATAACTTCCTTGAGGCCAGAGTGATAGTCTAATAGGCTGAGTGCATGATTTGCATGTAGGAGACTGTCTTGATTCCTGAGAACCACACTACCCTAAGCACCAACAAAAATGATTCCTGAACACTGATATAGGAGTACCCCCTGAACACTGCCAGATGTGAGAATCGCACTTCCCCATAAAACAAAATGAAAAATGTGAAGACTGACATTAAGTGCACTCCATTCTGTGACTGCTTCCAGCCCAATGTGAGTGCATAAGATTTTCCTCTATTCATCATCTCTTTCCTCTGTGAAAGCCATTTCACTTCATTGTTTTTAAAAATGATAATAACAGGGGCTGGAGGGAAAGAAAGATGGCGGCCGCACGGGAGCCTTGTGGACAGCAGGTTTGGGCCAGGCTCGGCGGGAGCGGCGGGGACCTCATGGGAAGGGGGGCTTTGTGGGCCGTCCCCCACGCCCCACCGAGGTCTCCAGCTGCCCCCCACGAGCGGCTCTCCGACACGGCCATGGCCCAGGAGGCACAAGGACTTAGCACAGAGAACCAGCCGCTTGGAGCAGAAAAGCAAATGGACTTGTGTTGAACCGCGCCACCAAGCCGGCCCGGAGGGGGAAGGGCGTTGACCGGCCCGCCCGCTCCTCTCTGGAAAGAAAGATGGCGGCCGCACGGGAGCCTTGTGGAAAGCAGGTTTGAGCCGGGCTCGGGGGAGCGGCGGGGACCTCAGGGGAAGGGGGGCTTTGTGGGCCGTCCCCCACGCCCCACCGAGGTCGCCAGCTGCCCCCCACGAGCGGCTCTCTGGCACGGCCACGACTCCAGGGCACAGAAACCAATCTCTTAACTAGCTAACTTTTAATAGAAATTCTTCCAGGGTCAATAAGTAAAATAGCAGAAATTCAAAACATCATTTTATTCTTAAACCAAGTTGTAGAAAGCAAATCATTTCACAACGCTGTTTCAGCATGTCTGATTGTGGGGGGTGGGTCGTAAACTCTAAACAATAATTGTGCATCTTCTAGTGAAATAATCTATCTAGTCAAAGTAGATAGAGTATTAACTAGAACTCATCTGCCTCACAAGAATTGGGAGGGGTGGGAGGTGGGGGTCTATTGGGGTTCGGGGTTAAAAATAAGTATTGGTAAAGGGAAATGTGTTTGATATCTACATGACTGAGACCTAAACCCGAAAGCTCTGTAACTTTTCCCACAGTGATTCAATAAATAAATTATAAAAAAAAACAAAAAACAACAACAACAACAACAAAAAATAACAGGGGCTGGAGCAATAACACAGCGGGTAGGGCGTTTGCCTTGCACGCGGCCAACCCGGGTTCGATTCCCAGCATCCAATGGTCCCCTGAGCACCGCCAGGGGTGATTCCTGAGTGCAGAGCCAGGAGTAACCCCTGTGCATTGCCAGGTGTGACCCAAAAAGAAAAAAAAAAGAAAAAATGATAATAACAAATGCTTGATATGAAAGATTTGGGTGTTAGAGGTATTTATGTTAGAAAAAGGTGTTAGAAGGAGGAATTGACTATCACTATTATGCTTTGGTATGTTATTCTGGAATTTTTGGAGGGGAGTGGGTGAATAACATGTAAAAAATAAAATGTTTTGGGGGGTGGTGACAAGGAAATACCTCAAAGCAGTGGAACATGTGACTTACATGACCAAGGCCCCAAGTTTTGTTTTGCTTTTTTAAATTTTTATCAAGATGCCATGATTTACAAAGTTATTCATAATAGAGTTGTTTTAAGGTTTACAGTGTTCCTACACCAATCTCAGAAATGTCCCTAAGGGCTCCTCCAGACTCCCTGGCATGCCCCTTTGGCAGGGCAATACCAGATATATTTTCTATTATTCCTTGTTTCAACAAAACTTAAGGGAATGACAAATGGAATTATCAGAAAATGTATCAGTAAAAGTTAATTTGTGATGATAAGTGATTTTAACCAACATAAGTAAGACATTCATTTATTATTGAAAATGTATAAAATCCCTTTGTCAAACTAGGGGAAAAGATACCCTTCCTTTTTTAAAAAAATTTTTTATTAGTGAAACACCATGAGGTACAGTTATAGACTTACAAATTTTTGTGCTTGGGTTTCAGTTATACAATGATCAAGTGCCCATCCCTCCACCAGTGCCCGTCATCCAACACCACGGGTCCCAGCATCCCCCCCACCCCCCATCTCCCCATCCCACCCTGCCTCTGTGGCAGGACATTACCCCTTGTTCTCTCTCTCTTCTTTTGGGTACTGTGTTTTGCAAGAGAGGCATTGAGTGGCAGTCAAAAACATACACTTCTTAATCTAGTAGAGGGCAAACATATGCACCCGTACTGAGTGCTATACTCAATGCAAGGCCCCAAGTTTGATCCCTGAAGCCACTTGGGCCCACAGCACCTGAAGGTCACCCCAGCATTGAGAGGATAGAGCAGCATTCAGTACTACCAGGAGCGTCCCCACACCCCCAGGCACTGCTGGGGAGCCCCCAAAGTGGGATCATTCTAAACAGTTAAGTAACTTGATTTTTCACCTAAATATATTGGAAGCAAAAATAGCTCTCTAAAGGAACCCATGGAATTCCCTCATTAAAAAAAAAAATGGGCTGGAGCATTAGCACAGCAGGTAGGGCATTTGCCTTGCACGCAGTCGACCTGGGTTCAATTCCCAACATCCCATACGGTCCCCCTGAGCACCGCCAGGAGTAATACCTGAATGCAGAGCCAGGAGTAGCACCTGTGCATTGCCGGGTGTGACCCCCTCAAAAAAGCTATTTACCATATTCATTGATATAGCCCATTCCCTATTGATAAGAAAACTTTGGTTATAAACTCTTCTTTATTATCAAAATGCTACACTGAAGATTTGCCTGTGTAATTGTACAATACAAAATTATCTTAAATGTCTGATTTTTAAAATAGAAATCCTACGTGAGTTTTTTATGTAATTTTTTTATTTTATAAGTAGTTCACAATATTTCATTACACTTAATATTCAAACACCAATCCCACCACCATCACACCTTCCCACCATCATATTTCAGATATTTCCACCCCAAACCCCAATCCCTTCCCAAAAGCAGAACCAAAATAATATATTTTGTATTGTTTGTTATGAAAAACCGCTGAAAATACTACAAAAAGTATTCTTAGAGGAAAGAGTGTGGAGATTGTTTTATTTCACCCAGGGTCCATTAAGCCCTTCTATAAGAGATCACTAACATATTGTTAAAGTTTGAGCCTTTTTTGCTTATATATATACATATATATATATCTGTTAAAAATGTATAATTTCCCTCTAAGATTGGTTGCCTCCTACTTTGAACCCTATCAAATGTGGTGTGGTAATCTTGGAGTATGTGTAGGGTATGTGGTATGAAGTATCGCGAGGCCACAAATGCTGCCACGTGGTCCAGGAATAAATTCACTCGTGGGTGATGCTCTTGTCCAAGCATTTGGAGAGGGACCATGAGCATGGCCTCAGCACAGTTCTGGAGGTTTTTGTTGTTGTTGTTGTTGTTTTTTGTTTTGGGGTTTTTTTTTCTTGCTTTTTTGGGTCACACCCGGCAATGCACAGGGGTTACTCCTGGCTCATGCACTCAGGAATCACTCCTGGTGGTGCCCCACCAGACCACTCTCCAGCCCGAGGAGGTGGCCCTAGGATCCGTAGGTGCAAGGAGGGACCAACCGAATGAAGACTCAAGACACAAGAGATAGAGTGCAGTTTAGAAACAGAGATAAAGGGACAGGACAGGACAGCAGACAGGACAGAACTTTATTCAGGGCAGCAGGAGTATTATATACTTTGCGATGCAGGAAACTATGCTTACATCACGGAAGGCAATTACATCACTAGGTCATATCATATATTGTTAGGAGAGTTACAGAAACTACATATTTCATGTGCTTGATTAGTCAGTGTTAGTTACTTCTTATTCTTGGGCTAGCTGTGACAAATGTTTTCTTTAGACAACCATACATAGCTCATAGGCTGCGGTCAGAGCAGACGCAGTACCAGATTTGCGCTAGTCAGGACCCGCTTGTTCGGGGTCACGTAGGCCAAGATAACCATACATAGCACAGGCACGTAGGTCCTTGGTCAGTTAAAGGGCCAGCTTCCCACAGGGGACCATATGGGATGCTGGGAATCGAACCTGGGTTGGCCGCGTGCAAGGCAAACACCCTACCCGCTGTGCTATCACTCCAGCTCCCATCAGTTCTGGAGGTTTTCGGTTGCTGGGGCTGGGTCCCTTGGGGTGGGGAGGGTTCTCACCCATCTCCTTCTCCAGGGCTCCCCAAATGAAACAGCCTGGTGCAGGGTCTGGTGGCATGGTTATGGCAAGCATCATGTTGTGCTCCCTTTCGGGAGAGAAGGATGTGGGATCTGGATGACAAGATTATCTGGCGCCAGCCAAAGTTCCACATACCTGGGTTTTTCCGATGCACGAGTATTTCTGTGGGATAAATCCTGATAAATGGAAACTCTGGGTTAAAACCTACACTAATCAGGCTTGTCCAATGCTTACCTATATTCAGCCTGGGGTGTGCCATGAAAATCCGTGCCTTTTTAATCTTCAACAACAATGGAGTATTATCAGGGTTTATTTTTGCATTCTAATAGATATAAAGTATTATCATTGCTTTATTTTGTATTTAAGTAGGAGAGAGTGGTTGAGCACATTTTCCATAGACCTACTGTTGGTCATTTGTATTTTATTTCTAGAACATAGCTAGTCATTTTTTTCTGTTGCATGTTTCT